AAAAATCCATATTCATTTGGCCCTAGTGAGGGGCCACAAACCACATTAAGCACCTGAGTTCATTCAATGCCTCTCTTAAAACATCTCGACTTGGACCTCTGACCTCTGCACATGCTCAGAAATGATCTACTTGGAGCATGTAACTAACTTATATGTAAACTCTGCTGCAGTTCAGATTGCTGCTGGGGAAGCACCTACATTTAAAGTCTGCAGATGAACTGACCTATTAAAAGCAACCCTAAATCATGCTAACAGCACTGAACTCAGCACAACACCCAATAAATACCAATAACCATTACTGCTGCTGTAACCCACCTTTTGTATAAAATAGTATCAATTACTACATTTAATCAAAGATGATCCTGAATTTATTTATTTAAAAATGTATTTCCATGTGCAGAATCTAATTATTGGAGGATAGTCTTTAATTCATTCCTCCCACTGCTGCAGGGGGGGCGGGGGGAGGCAGGCAGTAGGGAAGCACGTGGTACGGGGAAGTCAAGCAGTTTGCCCCCTGCTTGTGCCTGCCCCTCCCCTACCTCTGCCCCTATCTCCTCCCCAACAGCCTTGGGTCCCTGCTTCCCACAGCCTCTACCCCTGCTTTCCCCCAGCTTCTGCTCCATGCTGGCAGGCCCCATCCCCATTCTAGCCTGGGGCACAGAGTACAGCCCCAGCCCAGCCCCTGTAGTAGCCCCGCAGGCTGCGCACTGCTGCTTCAGGCTGGGCTGGGGGTGTGCTCAATACCTGAGGCTGTAGCATGCATGGAGCCTGTTGGTGCTGAGCAACGGTACAGGGGAGGGGGAGAGGGGTAGGCAGGGAGCAGAGGCTGATGTATAGGCAATGCATAGGGGGGCATGGGAAGATATGTGCCCCCCCTGAGAGCACTGGTGCCCCCCCTGACAGCAAGCACTCCAGCTGGTAGGGGGCACGGAGAGCGCTCGTGTCCCCCCCAAATTTGGCTCCGCCACTGGCTGACTGCTGGGGGACTCCCCCACAGTCGTGCCCTCCTGGTGCCCCTCCAAAGTCTGGAGGCACCAGTCGCCCATGGGCTGATGTTACCTAGGTTACAGGTAACCTTGTAGATTGACTACTGATAAAAGGTAAAAAAGGTCTACAGCCTGACCTTTTCATTTGTTTGCACTTCAAAGCACAAAAACAAACATTTATCCGTAAGTCTATCTGACTACCTGTGACATCACAATGTAGATTCTCACCAACACTGGCTGGGGAGACTCAGGAGGTGAGAGAAGAGTGGCACACAGGTTGGCAGCAGGTCTTCTTTGAATTTGCTGAGTTCTCCAATATTCCCCCCAGCCTATACTCCATATTTATAGATGGCTGATTCTAATATTCTAACAAATGATCTCTGATTAGGTTTATTTACATTTCTTCATTTCACTCAAACTTTTGGAACTGGACTGAACCAGACCTCTTGTGGACTTAGAAGATGTCAGTTAGTTGGGATTTATATCCTTAGGAAAGTAAAAAGGGAGAGTTTTTTCTCTCTTTTCCTTTACCATCATAGAATGCTGTTCAACACTATCCTGTTTCTTCTTTACCTTATTTTATGGTCTTCTCTGACAATGCCATTTTGTTTTTACAAATTACCTAAGCATCTTAACATCTGTTATAGCAAAGTAACATCTAATACTTTCAGCTACATCACTAACACTATTATTTATTAGTGCTATTAATATTTTGAGATAAAGCTATGATATAGTATATTTGTATTATTTAATGTATGGTCTTCCCTGATAATGTAGCTTCCCAGGCCTTGTGCTTTGTTTAACTGTATATCATTACTGGTTTAGTTAGACATGTGGATGGCTTCTTTTACTTCATTGACCAAACTAGTTGTCACATCTGCAAAGGTTCACATTAGAGTCAGTCAGAAACAGGCTTGGGGCCTTCTGCTATGCCATAATTCTGCACCTTGCCCTAGGCCCTTGAAAATGGCCAAGGTTGGCAACACTGCATAGGGGGATATGGGGAGAAGAGGCTGCAGTGGGGAGATGGTGGGGTGCAGAGGCAGTGGGGTTTGGAGGCGGGAGGGGGGAACAGGTAGCAGCTGCAGCTACAACCCCAATGCCAGATCAAAGCTAGAGCCCAAGCCACAGCAGCTTCCTGTCCCCCCCCCCACTCAATTATAAGACAAGGGTTCCCCCCATGTTAAACAGGGGGAACCTGGTCTCAGAATCAAGTAAATATGGTATGATGTATGCCCACCTGAGGCAAAGAAGCCTTAACCAGCACACTACAAAATAAACTAGAAGACAACACTCTCCAGCCTGAGTTTTGAAAAAGCTGGGCCACTGGGCAGAATGGAATGCAAGAGTCTTGAAGCCAGGTGAGGAAGCAAGCAGGCAAGAGCATTGCTCTGTAGCCTGTAAAGATAGTATGATGCTGGGAAGAATGAATGCTGGGCTTCTGCCCTCAACCCTTACTAGGACTGTATTGTATGCATAAAATATTAGATAATCATTTGTAACACAGTCATTTAGGAAACTGTTTCATTCAAGGGTAAACTGCCCAAGTTTAGCCTCCTCTTACCAGACAACAAACCAGACATAATTTCATAGTTGTTAGGGGTCTGGAAGGGACCTTACAGATCATCAGGTCCAGTCCCTTTGCACTTCAGCAGGAAATACTCCTGGGATCTGATGACCACAGCAAGATGGGTATCAAGATGCTTTTTGAAGATTGCCAGGGTCAATGATTGTACCACCTCCGGGGGGAGCCTCTTCCAAATGCTCAGCACTCAACTTGTAAAGAAGTTTGTCTTATGTCTAGCCTGAAGCAATCTTCAATCAGTTTGTACCCATTATTTCTTTTCCTCCCCTGGAAGGCCTTGGTGAACAGATGCTCCCCCAAGCCCTGATGTACACCCCTAATTTACTTATAAGCTACCATCAAGTCCCCTCTGAGTCTTCTCTTCTCCAGGCTGAACAGTCTCAAGTCTTTTAGCCTCTCCCCATATGACCTGGTCTCAAGGCCTCTAATCATGCACATGGCCCTCTTTTGGACTCTCTTGAGCTTCCCCACATCCTTCCTGAAGTGCAGTGCCCAGAACTGGACGCAGTACTCCAGCTGCAGTCTCACCAAGGCTGAGTAGAGTGGGAGGATGACACCCTTAGCCCTACTTGAGATGCCTCAGTAGATGCATGCCAATGTTTGATTAGCTCTGGCAGATACAGCATCACATTGGTGGCTCATGTTTATTTTATTGTCTATCACAATGCTGTCATAACAATGCCCAGACCTTGTTCAGCTGTGGTGCTGGCAAGCATTGCACCACCAAGCCTGTAAGTGTGTTGTGGATTATTTCTCCCCAGATGGAGCACTTTACATTTCTCCATATTAAACAATATCAGGTTGAGTTCTGCCCACCTCGCAAGCCTGTCCAGGCCTTGGCAAGCCTGCTTATGAAACAGTGTAGATTATATGATTTGAGGTAAGGTGCCCCTCTCCCCATTAACTATATAATTTGTTCATGTGTGCACACCCTTAGACAATCCGTGCTGCAGTTCCAGCTCTTTTCTCTACCACTCCTGGCACTCCACTGTCCAGCCCTCAGGAGAGCTGGGATCAAAAATAAAAACAAAACCCAAAAAAACCACCTTTAGCCATCACACTAGGAACCCAAATTTCTATAGTTACCTCGAATTACGTAATTGTCCAGAGCCTCTTCCATTCTTTGCAATGCTTCAGCTCTATTAGAGCCATAAGTAACTAGCTAAAAACAAAAGTATGTAAGTTAACTACAAGAATTAGATTGTTTGTCTTTTCCTCCCCACTTATTTGGATAGATTTCTTGAGGGGAAAAAAAAATCACCAGTCTCGCATACAGGTTTTTCATTTACAGAAATCACACCTATTACTATGCCTTTCCTTTCAACTCTTCCCCAAAATAATACCAGGAAAAGACCTCTTGGATTCAGAAGAGACGACAAGGGGGGTTTGTTTGTTTGTCTTTGGGGGGGGGGGGGGCTGTTTGTCTTTCTTGTCCAGCTCAGAAGTACCTAGACCCAGATTTCTGCTCTTTTTAGAGAAACGCATGTTCAAGTAAGTAACAAAAACTCTGGCTGTAATTTTCATCCTTATAAATGTTTGGTTCTCTCATAAGTTGACTTCCATCCCATAATTAATTTCCATCCTTACAAATGTTTGGTTTCTCCATAAGTTTTTACTGTCCAACACACTAAATATAATTTCCTAATACCACTAAATAAATTATAGGTACTTTCAACCTTAACTCCTAATTAACACAGATATTTTGTTGGGGATTACAGACCTAAAAGTTCATCAGAAGATCCAACAGAAAAAAACTACTAAAAACACATAAGTCTAAGACTGCAGGCCCTTGTTTAAACTAAAATGCTTTTGGTAATCAGAAAACATAGAAAGAATAATCATGGAAAACATGTCAAAGGGTAAATGAATTTCTATTTAGATCTGATGTATTAAGTTTCCTCTTTCACCCACCCGCTTCTAAACTCTTTCATGTTCCCTCTAGGCATATCATTTCCAGCAGCTTTGAAATACTGGCTCATCATGAAACATAAAAATTTGTTTCATTTAAAAAAGTATATCTAAAATAAGTATTTTATATTTTTTGAACATAATAAAAACAATCAACTTACTTTTGAGATCATAGGATCATAATAAATGCTAATATCACTTCCTTGCTGTATGCCGCTGTCAACACGTACCTGCAAAAAAGCACAAAAATAATTTAACAATTTTACACTGAAGAACACCACTTTCTGTATTTTGGCCTCAGACAGAAAATATATCTGGCACTTTTAAACATGACAAATCTCACATGATAAATTATAACATTCTTTTTCACAGAAAGCTGAAACACCATCTCTCTTGTATGTAAAATGTTTTTGTACTCCTTCAAAGAAAATACAAATGCAACCTTAAACTTAGTAATTTATATTGTGTTATACAACTCTAAATTTGAACTCCTAATACTTCCAACTCTGACTTAATCATTGTAATAAAATACAGTTGTAATTAGTCCTCCATCTGACACCTGGCATGAAAGATACCCTTTGTAATCACATCCTTTCTGTGTGCAATCACATTCCTTGTAGCCCCTTGTCACCCTTTTGAGGGTTCCAGGGGGGACATAACTAAGTTGCAGGAACTTTGGAACTCTGCTTATCAGCTCTATAGGAATACTGGTCTTATGGCTTTCATGTTGGTAACACTTTCCATTTCTGCCTCACCCTCTCCACTGTAAAACATTTTTTTTCTGTTGCTGCTGTTCCCCTGAGGCTTTAATGTTTACACAGCTTTTTCCATGGCTTTGCTTTGTAAGGACACTGTCCCAATTAAAGATCTGATTCTGCAAATTCCATGGAAAAAAACAGCACAAGTTCAAAAAATTCTTTTGAAGAAACTGATTGCTGTTAACCAACCAACAAGTTACTATATTGCTGATTCGTGTTTTCATCTCTCAGTTTGATTTCATCAGTGTGGCATTAAGGTTAGCCATCTAAAACTTTTAAAATGAGCAATTTCTGGGAAATAAATATTTATTAAATTGTTGCTGTTGAGCTTTGGAATTTGAAGCATTTAAAAAAAACCCTAATCCAAATAATTCAAGAGTGATAAATGCATCCCACATCTTCAGGATACAAGAATCTGATCAAAACTATTGGAACAGTAGGACTTTGATATGCTACATTGTAAAAAAGGTGGGAGAGAAGCAGCATAGAAACTCACTTAAATCTTCACCTATGGGAAGCAACCTTTCTAATAAACTGCAGCTCATCTGTCTGCAGCAAGGCAGAAAAAGGTCAACACAACGGCTGTTAGGCCTTTAATATTTTAATTTAGGCAATTATCAAGGGACCATATGTAGAACCTCTTGTCTACAGAATCCACATGAGGGCATGATGATGACTTTATTATCCAAATGACATAAAAGATACTCTAAATAGGTTTATTCTGTTTCTTCAATGCAAACTTCATTCTGGCAGGGTTTTATTACATAGTATAATATACTTTTAAATATTCTAATTATATAAACATTCCTATATGTCTAAAATATTTGCTGCTGCAATTCTATAGAACCTTTATTACAACAAACCTCAAGGTGTTTCAGATGCAATGAATTAGGCCTCTTAGCACAACTCTGAGGGAGGAAGGACATTATTATCCCCGTTTTACAGATGAGAAAGTAATTTAGGCAAAGCAAGGTAACACAGAAACAAGCAAATTACTTCCTGATTCCCATGCTTGGAGCTTCCACACTATCCCCCCTCCTTTAACATACACACACGAGATATATAGATATCTATATATAGATATAGATCTATCTAAGTAAATATATTCACACATTCAGATAAGAGAGAATTAAGTTCCTCTTACTTACAGTACACATTTGTTGTACATGGTACATTGCTTTTCTGTACAGTATATATAGACATGTAAACAATAGAAATGTATACACCTTCATTTATACTCTAACACCACATGGCATTTATCTATCACTTGTCATTTCCAAAACACCACAGAGATATCAAGTAATTAATACTTACAGTAGTCTTGTGAGATAGACAGATATATGTAATTAATACTTATATCTAGATAGACATCCATCTATCTCACAAGACTACTGTAAGTATTAATTATTTGATAGCTCTATGGTATTTTGGAAATGACAAGTGATAGATAAATGCCATGTGGTGTTAGAGTATAAATGAAGGTGTGTGTATACACACATATACACACACACACACATATATACACACACACAAATAAAATTAGGTATGATCAATACACATGCCATGTGTACAGACACAATATGTATACACATATTCTATACTACATTTAAAAGGGCAGTATACTGAAAGAATACTAAGTGCAAAAATAGTAAGTTCTTTAAAAATTACTGTATAATTTCATAAAATTATGCAAATTATCTGACGTCCCATTATAAATAATAAAAGTTACTATTCCTTCCAAAATGTAATCTTCATAAAACAAAAGCAGGCAAATTAAATGAAAACAACAAATCTACTTTAGAAAAGAAATATATTTACAATTTCAGTTATCCTTGTTGCACGTAGGTTTTTCAGAAGTACAATAACAGTGGCTAACTTACCAAATAAAGGGTAACCAAACTTAGTGAAAATTGGATAAAAGAGTAAACTTAATTCAAAAGATCTTTCCTGTAATGCATTTAAGATTGACAGATAATAATAGTTCTTATTAGAGCATCTGCATTCTTTTACTTAATATGTTTCCTTGTCTAAGCAAAAAACAAAAACTGAACAGAATCTACAGTTCAAGATCTTTTACTAGCCCCAAAATCAATGGTGTTATAAACCAAAACAGCTATAATAGTGCTGTACTCTGGTGCCATTGTGCATTATTATGCTACTGTGTTAGGTGCTCTGAAAAAAACCTATTATTTCCAATCCTACAATAAGCTGCAGGTCCATGAGCTCTCACTGCTTTATGAACATAGGCCTCTGATCAAGCACATTTTGGGGGGGGGGGTTTTGGGGGGGGGGGTTGTTTGTTTTAAACAGTATCAAG